CAACCAAAATTATTTTAACTAAATTTTCATGTAGCGCCTTTGAGTGCACTACACTATAGAAATAAAATTTCCAGTGTGAGCCCTGTATCTATATACAACATTTTCTCTTAACAAGTGACCTCATTTCTATCTGTTGATTGCCATCCAGCTAACCTGCATTATCAAGCAAAAGGGGAAAGCTTGTCAGTAAGTATATTCTTAAGTCAGATAAAGTAAATGTAATAATTTAGAGGGTGAAAAACAATTACATAATATTAACAAGTTTAAAAGGCACAACTCGAATAAAAAGTGTTCAATAAAATTCATGTGGGCTTTCATGAAATGCAACTTAAATGGGTGCATTTTGGTGAAAATGTTAATCACATACATGACTACAAGCACAACAATATACTTTCTGCATGTTTATTAATTTGATCTCTAATAATGAACTAGTAATTACTACCAAAAACCACATTCTCAAGACTCTTGAACTAGAAAAAAAATGAAGGTTTAAAAACAAATCTGTGCAAGCAATGTGGGGCATGGTCGTAAACAGAATTTTGGAATTACCTCACATGAGTCAGTAAACCCTTTAATGAGTTTCCATAACTTCATTCGTGGTTTGAAGAATCGTACTTCTGACAGCAAGTCATGCACATCTTCCTTGTCAAGTGATTCCAAGTCACTGCCACTGAATCCAGCTTCTGCAAGAGTAAGCAAATAACACCGAACAAACGACAAGGTAAATACTACGTCAAATTATAGTAAACATGTACTGCATACGTGACTCAAAACCGGCGCTTGCGTACGGCATCTAATCGCCTAGCTTCACACCACTACACGTCTTCCCCTCGGAAGAGTATAATTTTTCAGATAGTAACAAAAAAATATATTAGCCAGCGTAGTCCTATAGAAATTTTAAATTTGGCTAACAATATTATTACCCTAGGACTTGCCCTAAAAATTACCAAAACGGACTCATTTTCTAGTCGACCGCCAACCAGAAATTTTCACTAAAAAGAGGTTAGTATTTTTGGCAGATTAACTTAAGCAAGGCCATAAATAAGTTAGTTGCTTAGCATCTCTGTCCATGTCAGTAAAATACCCTGCTCTGACCTTTATTTTTTAAAAAAAAAGGTGTATTTGCCTTTCAATAACTGCACCATCTATTGAAAATCTTGTATTAACAATTTCTATTTCAAACAAGTAACCTGTAGAATACTGTGTGGGTAATATTTTTTATATTGATTTTTGTTGCATTTGCAGCAAATAGTTACCAAACAATGAGAAATCTATAGGATTGAATATACCCCACAGCTGGCTTCACATGCATTGTTCATAGTTCATATGGTGCTTACACCAAGATTTAATTACAGCACCTAGGCGGTATGTG